ACGTTTTCTGTACTCATGTTGAATGACCTGCTCATTAAATAACCAACAAATGGTAGTAAAAAACACTAGACAAGACTGCATCGGCTGCGAAAGTGGACAACGGTCGCATGATGTATGAAAGAACATAAATCACCTTATGGATACGATCTTTACGAGTTCCTCAGAATCATGAGCTCGAACCGAAAACTGAACTGCGAAGTAGGACATCCAAGGCATAGAAACACAGCGAATGCCCAAAACAGCAATAGAGTGCTAGAGTGTTCACATCCCGTGGGAATCGTCTGCAGCTTTCAGTAGTCTGACAGCACGGAGGCTTCATGCTAGCATGCCGTCACGACCTTGACAGTACATTTTAGAAGCAACTTGCCAGGGTTAAACTGTTGCACTCTGACTCCAAATTCATCGCATTCCTAGCATATTTCGTAGCTACGCAAAATATACGAAAGTTGCTCTACTACTTCAACTCGTGGACGATGGCAATAGGCCTTGGCCCGGCAAGGCGACTTAACTGATGTAAACATAACAGCTAGGTTAGTATTATCTGTGAACGCATTTCATGCCTTTTCCTTCAGCATACTCCAGATGAATTTGCCAAGGTTAGTGTGAACCTAAGCCGTGCCAAGATCAAGTGACCACAAAGACGCCTGGAGAGTTTTCTTTAAATGATACAGACATAAGAGAAACGTCAACGCGCAAACAACTTTCAAACGACGATGGTCTTCTAATTTATAGACTAGGGCTCAAAGGAAGTCGAAAGAGTTTTTTGAAAGCCAAGGTATCAAACGTAAAAAACATTTTCCATCATCAGAGTAAACGTTCGTCTCAATCAGGTTACAGCTTTGCCGTAACCTGGGAATTGCCTGCAAAATGTCCGCTTTTGAATGAAGACCATTTGACTTTTTCCCCCCGAATATTCAGCCATTTCGCTAGAAGATTATTTTTCTCATCCGTTCTGACCTTCCCACATAGCAGTTTCATAAGTAGCTGATCTCAGATAGTACAAAAAATTAATGTTACATGAGCATTGCTCCACTGAGTTGCGTGTCTGCTTTCCTCGCGTGGCAGCTGCAGTTCCAAACAGGGTAGCAGCAGGGCTGTATTTTGCAGGACGCGAGAACCCGTGCTCAAGGAAGAATCGGAAAGTTTTCGTACGAAATTTCTCCTCGGATTGATCGCGTGTTGCATCCTTTTTTGGTGTGGCTAAGACACACGATGCTCAGCTTGTGTCATCGTTACGCAAGTCACCAAGACAGTGACAGATATTTCGAAAAAAATTACCGTTCTATATGTATCAACAATTTATCACGGAAAGACGAAAAACCGACATGATCGGCATAAAATCGAAAAATCGTACTCTTAACTC